CCCCAAAACCCCAAAACCCCAAAACCCCAGGAATTAGGTTAAAATTGAACTCATTTTTATGGGAAAAATAAGTTGTTCCCTCCATTATGCTTATTCACGATAGCATCATTAAACTCAAGATCGTTCATATTCAGGCGGGAGTATTGGGGATCATGAAGGACAGGTAGAGATCTGTTACGATTCATAAATTTGTTATTTTTAATATCTTCACCGTTAGAGGCTTCTTGTAACTTCCTTTTAATTTCTTTAGAGTTCCTTATTGATCTGAGTAATCTTCTATTTGTCATTGATGAACTATTCCTACTGGAATTCTTCTGAAGTGTATTTAGTAACATCATTTGTCTCCTACTTGGAATCCCCTTAAGTTCAGTATCTCCTGGATAATCATATTGAGGATCAAGAGGATTTAAGGGAATATGCCTGTGCTTTAGAATTCCATCAGCTCCAGTGCCAGCACTTGTTCCTTCAATATCAGTTCAATCAAGACTATTTCCTTTGTAGTTCATGATATCATTAGTGTTATAATAATTCTGAATGCCACTATCCTTTGTGATTCTAGAGTTTCTGCTTGGAACATTTCGGCTAACAATTAGATAATAGGCTTACTTGACCAGTTGGGAATATCTGCTAGTAGGATTACTGAACATACTTGATACATTTACATGAATTCCATCACTATACATAATCAATATAGTTTTTATCAAATATTTATCAGACCTACTTCATTGTGTTGGTTTTTGGAGGCATTTGAGGCATATTTCTAGAAATAGGTGCAAATTTGATGTTTGGATTAATCAGCTGGTCGTTATTGGAATTTGGCATTTTATTTTGGGCAGGTGCTAATTTCTTTCCTCTAAATAATCTCTTTGATCTGACTCCCTCGATATCATCAATGTACATATTATTTCTTAGAAACTGATGAGAGCCATAATCTCCACCCTTCTTCTTATACTTCTTTTCTCCACTTGGAGCTCTTTTCCGTCTATTCGAAGGGACATATTGACTAGGTCGATAATATATCATTTATTATAATATTTTGGGGTTTTGGGGTTTTGGGGTTTTGGGGTTTTGGGGTTTTGGGG